GGTACCTGCAAATGATTGACAGACAGGTAGATGAAAACACAGAAGAATTCAAGACAACACTACAGAAACTATCAAAACAAAATAGATAAAAAATCGGAAATAATACAAAACCTGCAAATAGAAATAAAAAAGATTAATTCTAAGATTTCAGAAATGGATAATACATTCAAAGGACAAATTTGAATCAATGGAAGCCTGAATTAGTGAGTTTGAAAATAAATCTCTCAATACTAGTAAGCTAAAAAAATCAGAAAAAAAAAATTTTTTAATTGAAATAAAGTAAAAGATTCATGTGGGACAACACGAAGAGGAATAACTTATGGGTAACTGAAGATCAGGAAGAGACAAAGAAAAGACAGTGGAAGAGCTGTTGGAAGAAAATTTCCCCAGCATCACGAAAGACAAGCATTCAAGAAGCTGAACAAACCCCAAATAGAATCGACCCCAACCAAAAAAAATCACCAAGACACATCGTAATCAAACTCTTCAAAATTAAAGACAAGATAATAATTCTGAGAGCAGCTCGGGAAAAATAAAAAATTAATTACAAAAGAGAACCAAATCAAGATCTGGTTTCGCAAAAATCATTCAGACAAGAAGGCAGGGGGAAAACATACACAAAACTCCAAAAGAAAATACTGCCAATCAAATTATCAATGCATCCTGATCGCATGTTTGATCAATTTCAGACTGAAGAAGTTGTATAATACTTCAATTTCATCATCAATGGCTTTAGTAGTTGATGTGTAAGTGTGAATAATAATGGTAGTAACTGGAATTCCTTGTATGCATATGGATATTATTGTATCAGAGACAACATTATACTTCAAGATAGATCTTGAAATGTTCTTTTTGACAATGAATGCAATGTCTTCAGTTTGTAGTTCCCAGCATAGTAAAGCATATGACTGTAGGATTCAAAATGGTAAAACCAGTCTATTTCAGCTCATTAATGCCTAATAAATCAACCTTTATGCATTCCATTTCATTTCTGACAACTTCCAATTTTCCTAGATTTATATTCTGTATATTCCATGTCCCAATTATTGATGGATGTTTGCAGCTGTTGCTCATTTTGACTTGTGCCCCACCAGCAAATGAAGATCAAAAAGTTTTACTCCATTCATGTCATTTTGGTCCAGTCTACTTCCCCAATTTTATTTTGTCTAACCTGCAAGACTCATCATCACACACAAATGTATCTGATAATCTGCTGCTATTCAAAATACTTCATATTCTGGCACAATATCTGACAATGCTCTGCTGATACTGACAAGGTTTTCAGTGACTAAACATTCAAAAGTAGTCCACCTTTCCTTCTTCCTAGTGTTTATTAGAAGCTCCATTGCAACCATGGGTGGCCCTGCTGGTATTTAACATACTGGTCATATAGCTTCCAGCATCGCAGCAACACGCAAGCCCTCCACAGTATGATAAACTGACAGTTGAGTGGTGGAAGGCTACATCATAATTAGACTCAAACTAGACTACTTGCTGGTTTTTGAATGTCCCCTCAACTCCTCCAACTTTTCCTCGTGCACATTGTTTTGCTTGTGCAGTTTTCTTATCAGCATGTCCTTCCCTTCCCTCTCATGTCAGGCACACAGTAGTCACTTAAACAACTGCCAAAGTGTCTAATTTAATTATTTACAGATAAAAAGAAAATATTTTAATCTCTTTTTTTAACGAGACTGCTTTGCCAATAGTTAGCTTTGAAATGCTGAAATGAGCTACTAAGGAGACAGCAGGAATTCTTAATCTAAAAGTTTAAAGAGAAGAAACTTTAACATTTAAGTGGATTAAGTATGACCCTGCCTGTAGACAGGCAGATAGCCTAGAAAAGCTGTCAGTTCTACCTTCTGGTTTAAAAGAAATGCACAAACTTATACACACTCAACAGGCTGCCAAAGTGAGCTGTCACTCTACAGATACAAATAGAAGGTAGCACCTGCTAATAAAAGTGCTGATCAAGTAAAATACAAAACCATTAAGAATTATCATATGTATTTTTCAAACTACAGCAGTGACAGCAAGATAAAAAAATTTTTTTTTCTCTTTGGCAGCATGTATTCACTGCTTTGAAATAGATGCTGAAAGTTTGTTTCTCTAAGCATAATTAAGTGGTAATATGCTACAGTGTGAATATTATGATACATATGATGACATGTTTTGGTCTAGTTAATAGCTGCCACCAGACTGGCAAATCTTTATTATAACATAGTCATTTTACAGGCATGCTTCTGAATATACAATACTTGCTGGAATGAACAATATGCAAAGATGTCCTAATGGAGAATTTTGGAAACGCAAAGTTTAAAATTTATCATCTAAATGTTTTATTTAGATCGACTAAAACGCTTATCTAAATGTTGAAAACAAGACTTTCTGTTTAGGTAGTAATCACTTGGACATTGTATTTCTGGCAACTCTCTGTCGATGTAATGCTACAATAGTTTTGGAATTAACTTCAGCAAAACTTTACTTGTATGTGATATCAATGACATTGTTCAATAATTTCTGCATTCTGCAAGGTACCCTTTCTTTGGAATGGGCACAAATATGCATCTCTACTAAATTGTTCGACAAACAGCTGTCTTCCAAATTTCTTGGCACAGATGAGTGAGTGCTTCCAGTATTATATCAGTTTGCTGAAACATTTCAATTAGTATTCTATCAATTCCTGGAGCCTTGTTTTTCACTAATGCCTTCAGTGCAACTTTGACTTCTTCCGTCAATACTATCAGTTCTTGATAATATGCAGCCCTCCTGAAAGAGTTGAACATCGATCAATTCTTTTTGATGCTTCCTGCCTCATTCAATGTTTTGCCCATAAGATTCGTCAGTATTGTAATTAAGCATAAATTTTTTTCTTCCGTTCTTTCAACTTGAGATATACCAATCGTGTTCTTTCTTTTTGGTTTTATAACTTCAGGTCTGCACATTTCATTATAATACTTGACAATCTTCTCAAACTGTCCTTTGAAATTTTCTGTTCAGCTCTTTTACTTAATCATTTCTTCCATTCATTTTAGCTACTCTATGTTCAAAAGCAAGTTTCAGAGTCTTCTGACATCCATTTTGATCTTTTCTTTTTACCTTTTTAATAAACTTTTGCTCTCTTCATGTATGATGCTCTTTAGGTCATCCCACAACTCCTCTGGTCTTTGTTCATTACTGTTCAATGAATCTAATCTGTTCTTGAGATGATCTCTAAATTGAGGAGGCATCCTGGTGTGGCACTATAGTATAAGCACTTGAACTCAAGGTAAGTTTGAACTTCAGGGTCAATGGTTCAAACTCACCAGCTGCTCCTTGGAAACTCAGTGTTACTATGAGTTGGAACCGACTGGACTGCACTTAACAACAACATACTCATCAGATGGGAGTCCTAGTGTGGCACTGTAAGATAAATCACTGGACCACAAAGTCAGTTTGAATTGTAAGACTGGCAGTTCAAACCCACCAGTCACTCCACAGAAATCCTATACAGGGTTGCTATGAGTTGAAATTGACTTGATGATAATGCACTCATCATATTTTGGGTTTTGTTAGATGAAGTTTTGGTGTGGCACCGTACGTTAATGCATTGGAATGCAAAGTTGGTTTGGATCATAACGTCCACAGTTAAAGCTCACCAGTCATTCCTCAGAAACCCTACATGGGGTCACTATGAGTCGGAACCGACTCGATGGTATGTAACAACAAGGTGGTTTTAATTTTCTTCACCGTCAGCCTGAACTTGCATCTGAGTAATTGATGGTCTACTCCACAGTCAGTCCCTAGTCTTGATTTGCACAATGATATTGAGCTTGTCCATCATTTCGTCCCATAGATGTATTCAATTTGATTCCTGTACATTCCATCTGGAAAGGTGTATAATCATTGTCTTTGTTGCTGAAAAAGGAATTTGCAATGAAGAAGTTGTTTGTCTTGCAAAACTCTATTATGCTATCTCCAGCATCATTTCTATCACCAAGAACACAGTTTCAGCTACTAATCCTTCCTCTTTGTTTCAAACTTTCACATTCAATCACGAGTAATTATCAATACATCTTGATTTCAAGGCTGATCAACTTCAGACTGAAGAAACTGGTAGAATTCTTCAGTTTCTTCATTACTGGCTTTTGTGCTTGGTGCTTAAATTTGAATCATAGTTGCATTATTAACTAGTCTTCCTTGCAAGCATATAGATATTATCCTCTCACAGACAGCACTGAACATCAAAACAGATCTACAAATGCTTTTATTGATAAAGAATCTGAAACCTTTCCTCCTGAATTTATCATTCCCAGCATGTAAAACATTTGACTGTACAAATGAAAATGTGCAAGATCAGTCTATTTTGGCTTACTAATGCCTACAGTTATCAATCTTTTTGTGTTCCATTTCATTTTTGATGACTTCTAGTTTTCCTAGATTCACAATTTGTACATTCCAGTTCTGGCTATTAATGGATGTTTACAGCTGTTTCTTCTCATTTTTAATTGTGCTCTATCAGCAAATGAAGGTCCCCAAAGCTTTGTTCCAACCACACCCTTAAGGTAGACTATTTTGAGGAGGCAACTCTTCCTCAATCATATTGAGAGTCTTCCAAACCTCATTATCTGGCACTATATCAGACAATAGATTTCACCTCTACTCATAAGGTTTTCAGTGGCTAATCCCTCAGAAGTGGACCACACCCTTCCTCCTTCCTAGTGTATTCTCAATTTGGAAGTTCTGCTGAAAACTGCGGGTGACCCTGTGCCAGAGTTTTCAGCATCACAGCAACATGGAAGCCACCACAGCACGTCACTAAGAGATGTGTCAGGGGATATAATTTATGATATCAAGGTTGTATAACATCTAACCCTGCTTAACTTTTCAATGTTAGTGCTTGAGAGGATAAGGTTAAGAGGGACAAATATCAAGAACTGGAGAAACATGGGTTGCACAACAAAGTCAAGCATTAAAATCTTATGACTACTAGGACATAAGGATTATTTTTTTTTTTCCTTTCTAGTAAAAAAAAAAATGATCACACTACCCACTTTGAAAGTATCTAAAAACTATACTACTTCTTACCAGTGCCAAAACATTTAGAAATTCTCTTGTGTCAAAATGTAAGAGAGTCCGAACATAGGGATAGATTTCTTCCTCTGGGGAAGCTTCTGCTGAATGTAGACGTATAAGAAACTCAAATACCTGCAAGTTAAGAAAAAAAATAAGTGGTTATTTTCATTTTCCTTTTTCAGTCTTGCCTTACCAAGTATTTTGCTGAAGCAATGATTCCCATTTGGATTGGTAAAGGAAGGTTAAATTCAGTTTAAATTGCCACTACGCTGTAAGTTCTCTCTTAAAACCTGTCTCAGTTATAATTACGGACTTTATTGATGGTGGTGTGTAGGCTCTTTCTATATCATAGCTTTAGAGTGGTCCACGACTTTCCTTACCCACACGTAGTCCTCAACTAGAATTTGTTTTAAGTGCATCTTAACAGGTATATTGTGGTGTCCCACTGAGTCAATTTCACGACACAGTGACCCAACAGGACTGAGTAAAACTAACCCCAAGAGTTTTCTAGATTGAAAAGGTCTTTTCTCCTGCAGAATAGCTGGTGGATTTGAACCACTGACCTTTAGGTTAGCAGCTAAGCACTTAACCATTTTGCCAACAGAGCTCCTTAACAAGAGGTAAATGTGAAAAATGCTGTGAAAATATCACCAACCTGGTTTTTAACCAAAGGAACAAGATCTTCAGGGATATCTCCAAGGGGATAGGCACGACCTGCTAGGCAACAGCTATAAGAAAAGTAGGAGAATAGATATTATGTAACTTGCAAGGGATCAATTCTCAGTAAACCATTGTTTCTCAAACCTAGACACTAGTTTGAGTTTTAACAAAATACAAACTTGTCAAGTGATATTTAAAATCATCAAGATGATTATCAGGTTCAGAAAATGTAGATGACAGGGATGATGGTGAAGTAAAAAATTATGACTCTTGTTAAGTGCCGTCAAGTCAGTTCCAACTCATGGTGGCCCTGTATAGGGTTTCCAAGGAGTGGCTGGTGAGTCTGAATTGCCGACCCTGCAATTAGGAGTCCAGTGCTTATCCTACAGTGCCACACCAGTACTGAATAGGGGCTTTCATTTCTTAATTTTCCTAAGAAAAGTCCAAACTGCACTAAAGGGACAAGGAGGAATGGGAACAGATTAAATGTCTAAAGGTCTCAGTCCTAACATCTAGACAGAACCTAAGGGTGCTATTAAGTGATGATTTACCTGTTAATAGCTGGATCTTCTCAAAGACTTTGAAGCCAGCGCTTCTAAGAATGGAGACTAGAGAGGCTTCAAGGCTGTGACCTATGGGAAGCACATCAGCAGGCCAATCTTCCAAGGCACCACTGGATGTGTTCAAACCACCAACTTTCAGGTTAGTCGTCAAGTGATTAAATGTTTGTGCAATCTAGGGATTTGCCAACTGTCATGAGGGGTGAGAGTGGTGCCAGATTACCCCCAGGTGAGAATTACTGATCTTTATTATTATAATAAATTATTATATATTATAATATTATAATAAAATATAATATAATATAATATATAATACAGTATTATATATTATAATAATATAATATAATTATTATATTACATATAATAATTTTGAAAAATGAAAAGCAATATGTAGATAAGAGATATCTAAGGATAATGGGAAAAAAACATGGAAGGAGTATAAACACAGACAAATAAATACTTACCTAATATATACAAGAAGCTTGTTGCCCATAACAACTTGCTCATCTAAAATAGAAAGGTCTTTAGTAATTCTCTCTCAAAACCTTTCAGAAATATAATCTTTATATGGAAACAATAAAACTTGGCATTTAGAGTGAGGTAATATTATTCTCAAACAACAGAAAAATTAAATAGGACCATGGAAATTATTATTTTAGCATTTTCATTAATGCCTTTCAAAGACACAAAATCAATATGAACTATTCAAGGATGCATTCAAGGAATTGATCTGAGGGTTGTTGCTGTTGTTAAGTGCCACTGAGTCATCACCAACCCACAGTGATCCTACACACAACAAAATGAAACACTTCCCAGTCCTGTGCCAACCTCACAATCATTGTTATACGTGAGCCCATCGCTGCTGCCACTGTGTCAATCCATCTCACTGGGGGTCTTCCTCTTTTTCTCTGACCTTCCAAACATTATACCCTTCTCCAGAGACTGGTCCCTCCTGACAATATATCCAAAATATGAGAGACAAAGTCCAGCCATTCCTGGCTTCCAAGGAGCACTCTGGGTGAACTTCTAACACAGATCTGTTTGGTCTCGGTACTGTCAATAACTCCTCAAACACCATAGCTCAAATTCATCAATTCTTCTACTGTGTTCCTTATTCACTGTCCAGCTTTCACATGCATATGAGGTTATTGAAAATATCATGGCTTGGATCAAGTGTACCTTAGCCCTCAAACTGACATCTTTGCTCTTCAACACTTTAAAGAGATCTTGAGCAGCAGATTCACATAATGCAATGTTGTTTGGTTTCTTGATTGCTGCTTCTGTGAGTGCTGATGGTTGATCCGAGCAAAACGAAGTCTTTGATAACTTCAATCTTTTCTCCATTTATATGGATGTTGTTTATTGGTCCAGTGGTGAGGATTTTTCTTTACATTGTTTTCTTTACATTGAAATGCAACCCATACTGAAGGCTGTCATTTTTTATCTTCATCACTAAGCATTCTAAGTCCTCTTCACTTTCAGCAAGGTTGTTATCATCTGTATATCGCAGTTTGTTAGCAAGTCTTCCTCCAATCTTGATGCCACATTTTTCTTCACATAATCCAACTTCTTGGATCATTGCTCAGCATACAGATTGAATAAGTATGGTGAAAGAATACAACTGTGGCACACCATCCCTAATTTTAAGCCATTTGGTGTTCCCTTGTTCTGTTTGAACAACTGCCTCTTGGTCAATGTATAGGTTCCTCAGGAGCACAATTAAGTGTTCAGGAATACTCATACTTCGCAGTGTTGTCCATAGCTTGTCATGATCCACATCGATAACCTTTGCATAGTCAATAAAGCACAGGTAGGCATCTTTCTGATATTCTCTCCTTTCAGCCAAGATCCATCTGACATCAGCAATGATATCCCTTGTTCCACATTCTCTTCTGAATCCAGTTTGAACCTCTGGAAGTTCTCTGTCAATGTATGGTTGCAACCATTTTTGTATAATCTTTAGTAAAACTTTACTTGCAAGTGATACTGTCCGATGATTTCTGCATTCCGTTGGATCACCTCTCTTTGAAATTGGCACAAATACAGATCTCTTCCAGTCACTTATCCAGGTACAAATGAGTGAGTGCCTCCAGTGCTACATCAGTTTGTTGAAAGATTTCAATTCGTATTCCATCAATTCCAGGTGCCCTGTTCTTTGCCAATGCCTTCAATGCACCTCGGACTTCTTCCTTCAGGATCATTGGCTCTTGATCATATGCTACCTCTTTTTTGGTATAGTAACTCTGTGTATACCTTCTATCTTCTTTTGATGCTTTCTGCATTGTTCGATGTTTTGCCCATAGGAGCCTTCAACACCACAAGTCGAGGCTTGAATTTTTTTCTTCAGTTCCCTCAGTTTGAAAAACGGTGAGCATGCTCTTCCTTTTTGGTCTTCTGAGGGTAAATATCTATATATTATCCGTGGCTTAACCAATAACATGGCTTGGGTCAGGCGCACCTTAGTCCTCAAGTTGACATCTCTGCTCTTCAGTACTTTAAAAGTTCCTGTGCAGCAGATTTGCCCAATGCAATACGTCGTCTGATCTCTTGACCACTGCTTCCGTGAGTGTTGACAGTTGATCCAAGAAGAATGAAGTCCTTGACAACTTTAATCTCTTCTCCATTGATAAGAATGCTGTTTACTGGTCCAGTGGTGAGGATTTTTGTTTTCTTAACATTGAGATGTAATCCATGTGTGCCTGACCCAAGCCATGGTATTTTCAATAACATCATATGGATGCGAAAGCTGGACAGTGAATAAGGAAGATCGTAGAAGAATTGATGCCTTTGAGTTGTGGTGTTGGAGGAGAATACTGAAAGTGCCATGGACTGACAAAAGAACCAATAGATCTGTTTTGGAAGAAGTACAACCAGAGTGCTCCTTGGAGGCCAAGATGGCTAAGCTTCGTCTCTCCTACTTTGGACACATTGTCCGGAGAGAACAGTTGCTGGAGAAGGATGTCATGCTGGGTAAGGTGGAGGGTCAGAGAAAAAGAGGAAGACCCCAATGAGATGGATCAGCCAGGTGGCATCACTGATGGACTCAAGTGTGGCAGCGGTAGTGAGGTTGGCCCAGGATCGGACATTGTTTCGTTCTGCTGTGCATGGGGTCGCTATGAGTCGGTTCTGACTCGATGGCACCTGACGACAACAACAACAACCAATAACATGGGTCTGGGGAAAGATGCAGCAGGTGATGAGTAAAGGAATTAAAGATCATAATCAATATGGTACTGTATGATCAAAACTGGACTTCGAACCACAGTTCAAACCCACTAGCTATTCCATGGAAACCCTATATAGAGTTGCTATGAGTTGGAACTGACTGGATGGCACTCAACAACAACAACATTTGTGAGGTTATTAAGTGGCTAAACTTTCCAAAGTGGACCACCCCTTTAATTAAGGATAGCTATAATTTCATCTCATTCACAACATAGATTCTCACCACTTATAGTACTCTTAGGCATGAGAAAGCCCCTGTTCTCAAAGAAGGGATTTATATGCACTATATGATTTGAGGGTCCCTTCTAGTCTTCTAAATTATATAATTTTAAAATCATAAGCAAATTTCATTGACTAAAAGAAGTCAGAACTATAATTAGACCAAGATTTAGGCCAATGGGTCAAAAAGTCAATACAGGATAGAGTGGAGTATCAATAATGGGTAACGTGGTCAGGAAGCCTTATGGCACGCAAGTGTGTTGGAATTTGTAGCTAGTAAAAATAATGAGATGAAGTGTCTATTTTTAACATTTGAGTATTGGACATAATGTAAGCAACTATACATCTTTTATCTTATCGCTCACCTTTCATAAATACTTTAACTCTGTGGTGTCATAAGTGCACATAAACTAGAATTGTTAAAAATATTATGAATAATTATATTTTGCTTCAATTCCAGATATTATTTGGTCCAACTAAATTAGCATGATAAAGACAGTCACCTTACTGGTATAAAAAGTTCACATATATTGACTAATTATATAAATCTCAGGTAGAATGTATAACGTTCATGACAACCCTATCAAACCAAACCCACTGTCACAGAGCCGATTCTGAATCATAGCAAATCTATAAAGGGTTTCTGAAACTGTAAATCTTAAAGGGAGCAGACAGCCTCATCTTTCTTATGCAAATGGCCGGTGTTTGAACCACCCATCTTGCAGTTAGCATTCCAATGCCTAAACCACAATGCTATCAGGGCTCATCTGTGATTTCCCTAAAAAAGAGTTAAATTTACTTATTGAACATATACAT